GTCTACCTGTTGGTGGTGGCTACCGTGTTACTTAGTGCCATGTTTATCAGATTTCTGTGTTTTTTGCTGGTGATTTTGTTGTCTACAATGGCCCCATGCATAATGCTGAAGTGTTGTCTAGTGTTCCTACCCACAAGAAGGCTGAGCTGTTGCACTGTGGTAAACTGTAGTCAATGTCATGAGGCAATGTGTATATGAACTGCTGTATGGAAAGTGAATTTGCTCTGTAAACTTTCACTCAAATCACCATTAAAAAAAAAAAAAAAGGGGGCAGATGTGATGTGCTTTACGGAGAAAATACATGCTAGTTAGAAAAGCTCATTCAAGCGTGAGTTATAGAGCTGTTAATCATAAATTCAATGCTAATAAATCAACTATATTAAATAAGGTAGCATTAAACTGAAAACACATATAAAACAAGATTATATACTGATTGGTCAACAAAAATATTTTGACCAGAGGCTCTAATCCTAGATTGCCCCTAGGAGCTATGGTTCAAAATTCACTAATCCAACATCCCCAGGGGTGTTACAGAACATGGCTACCATGAATAACAAGAACTAACTGCACTGCCTGTCAGCTCTCTCTTAGAGTATTTCTTAAATTACATATGCTGGTAGGTTATTTTTATTCTTATATTTCCTTAAAATAAAGTATAAAGGAGGTATTGCACAATCTTTGTCTGAAAAGGGGCAATAGGTCTGAAACGAGAAAATATGTGTGTTAGTTTTGAGCAGAGAGCCACTGCTCAAAATGTGCATTCTGGAGAGTTTCACTTGGTTTGCCTTTTGAATTCCTTTATGAAATGGAGAGAATTAAGTTAAATGATCACCCTTTCTTTAAACATTAGTGTTTTTTAAAATTTAGCTTTACTAAAGTACAACTAACATAAGATAAACAGCACATATTTAAAACGTACAATTTGATGGGCTGTGACATGCATATGCTCATGAAAGCATCAGCACCACCAAGATAATGAGCACAGCCAAACCCCCGAAACACTCCCTCTGCCTTCCCCCTCTTCACTGCCCTCGCTGCCCGGCAGCACAGGCAACCACTGATGTCACTTCAGTTACCACAGATAAGTGTTCCTTTTCTAGAACTGTATATAAATGGAACCAACTGGTATGTGCCCTTTATCATCTGGCACCTTTCACTCTGCATACACGGGAGATTCATCCATTTTATTGCATATATCAATAAAAACCCAAACCTACAGCCGCCAGTTGTGACTCACAGTGATCATAGAGGACACAGTAGAACTGCCCCACAGGTTTCTCAAGGCTATAATCTTTTATTATTATTATTCTATTATTATTTTTTTTTATTTTTATTATTTTGGTGAAAATTTACAGAGCAAATTCATCTTCCATACAGCAGCTCAGATACACTTTGTCTCATGACATTGACTGCACTTTCCCACAATGCAACATCTCCCCTCTCCCTCCTCCCCATAGTTACCTCTTCCCCTGTATCCTTCCCATGTACTCCTGCCCCCGAGCTGTCTCCTGTGTATACATAGCCTTTCTATTCTCCCATGATTGATCTGTATTGTAAATGTTCAGCTCATATGCCTGACTTTTGTTGGGCTGGAAGCCACAGGAGTTCAATTCCAGACCTGAAGGGCAGCTAGGGGCCACAGTCTCAGGGGTTCCATCAGACTCTAGTATACCAGCAAACCTGGTCCTTCTTTTTTTTTTTTGATTTTGAGTTTTGTTCCACATTGTTCTCCCACTCTATCCAGGATCTCCTCTATAGATCCCCCTCCGAGTGGTTGACAATGGTAGCCAGGCACCATCTAATTCTTCTGGTCGCACAGTCATACAGGCTGAGGATCACATGGTACACCGATCCCTTGGACTAATTGTTTCCACACACCTTTGGTTTTTTTCATTCTTCTTTGATCTGGATGAGGAGAGACCCACTGTTGCATCTAGATGACTGCTTGCAAGCTTTTAAGATCCCAGTTGCTACTCGTCAAGGCTGTAATCTTTACTGTAGCAGACTGCCAGATCTTTCTCCTATGGAGCAGCTGATGGGTTCAAACCACTGACATGCTGGTTAGCAGCCAAGTACTTAACCACTGTGCCACCAGAGCTCTTTTCAATAGTTCACTCCTTTTCACTGCTGACAAGTATTCTGTTGTGGGGTATGCCACAGTCTGTATATCATTCACTTGTTAATGGGTGTCTGGGCTATTACAAATAAAACTGCTATGAACATTTGTGTTGTGTGTATTTTTTTTGTGAAAATAAATGTTATCTCCTCTTGGAGTACAATGGCTGGGTTGTACAACAGGTATGTTTAACTTTTTAAGAAGCTGTCAAACTGTTTTTCAGAACAGCTGTCCCATTTTCATTCACCAGAAAGCACAGGCCAACGGAGGCTAATGTGGCCTTAACCTCCAGGTGACCATAAGTTGAAGAGAAATTTCCATTCCATTGTGTTAAACTCAAAATCACTTAACATAAGCTAGTGGGAGATGGGAATGGGAGTCACTGGTGAAGGGCTGTTTGTTTGGGGTGACATAAAAGCTGGATATGGACAGTGGCAATGGCTGTACAATATAGCAAATGTAGTTAGTGTCAGTGATGTTATGGTTAAAATGGTAAACTTTTGGTTTTATGTATTTTAGCACAATAAAATGTCTCTAAAAGCAAGTACTGAACACAAACCAATGACACACCGGGTTTTAAAACCCAAAGGTGGTGGTGCCAGTGCAGCTCAGATGTGACTTTTAAGTCACTCTGGCTGCCGTGAGGAGAGCTGAAAGAGCTGAGACCACGGCCCAAAGCCAAGCCAGATGACATGAGACACCCATCAGCTCACGGCCAGCACAGGCGTGCTCCTCCCCCTGGCCTGTGTACCAGTGGCCACTCCACGCTACAACAGGCCTCCCCCAGCCCAGGTGGTAGGTAACAGGTCAAGATCTGGCTCTTTAGCTGGGAACAAAGTGAGTGAGCCATTGTGCCAACATCCCAGGGCCACACAGATCCAAGCTGAGAATCCCTAAAGACCACAATAAGAACACAACAGGCTCCCTCAGGTGGCCCACTTTGTAGTCTGGTGAGTCAGTTCCTACCTGGTCCTCTCTTGCAAAATGGAAACACCCAGGCTGGTGCCTTGCCCAGCTGAATAAACACAAAATGTACAGCTAATTCCTGCCTAGGGTTTACCTAGGGCGACGGCCCAGCTTATCAGATAATGTTTACCACATAGAATTCTCAGAAAACCCTCTGAGTTCAGATAAGAAGAAAATGGAGGTTCTGAGATATCAAAGAACTTGCTCATGGATAGGCAATACCTAAATCCCCAGCCTGGTCTTCCTGCTTCTACTCTCATCCCTACGACCTATGTTTCCTAGGGCAGCCTAAGGGATCCTTTGTAAAGCAGAATTCAAGTCACATACTGCTCTGAATAAAATCCACCTGTGCCTTCTCACATCACAGCCCATGAGGCCACAAAATGACCTCCAGAGAATACAAAGGTATCACTCGTACTATGCCACCCACCACAGGGAGAGGACCCAAGCAAGCAACAAGGCTTGGGTAATGATGAATGGTGAAATCCTAGAGAAGAATGTCACCTTCTCATCACAAAGGGCGTTGTAAGCCAGGCTGGAGGGAACCAGGGAACTTGCCTCTGCCAAGGACCTCCACCTGGGTCATATCTATTAGACTCAGCCAGTACTATATGGACACATACCAGCAAAGCCCTCGCAATGCTCAGCACAGGTGCCCAAGCTCTAGCTGCCTGGCTCAAGACACACTCCTGTGTTATCACAGCCATCTCAAACGGTCACAAGGCCCTCTGCTGATGTCCTAGCAGCCAGATGCATGGATGTCCTAAATTCCCACCCACTTCCTTGGTTTGAGGTCCCTAGTGGTACAACAGTTTGTGCTTGATGACTAAGCTAAAAGTGGAGGTTCAAACCCCCCAGGAACACCACAGAAAGGCCTGGTGATTTGCTTACATAAAGATTATAGCCAAGAAAACCCTTTGGAGCAGTTCTACTCTGTAACATGTGGGATTATCTTGAGTCAGCATCAACTCAATGGCAGTGGGTTTAGTTTTTTGGTTTATGCCCTAGCTTGACCTCAGATGTGTCATTTGGATGTTCTCAGAATGTAGTGAAGAATGGGACCTCTGTTACAGGGTTTTGTTTCCTGCAAATCCAACTGGTCTGTAGGGAACCAGACACACAGACAAGCCCATTATCAATCAGTTCCAGCAAGGTGAACAGCAGGCCTGCTCCACACCAAGCGCTAAGAAGAACAACAGCTACACTTTACCACCACAGCTCACTGTCCCTATGACACTCTTCATCCACATCCTAGCTCCTCTGCAATCAGGATGTATCTTAAGTCAATGACACATCCTAGTTTAACTGGCAGCATTTTTCTTTCTTATTGGCACATAAAACAATTTATCTTATAATTGACAATAGATTTGATGCAATGTGGTCTGTATTGGGGGTGTGGTGGGTGGCCTGATGTCAAGCAACCTCATATAAGAAAGGGCTACAGCATACAAGGAGCAGAGTCTAAATCCCAGGACAGTCAAAGATAACCTGATCGGTGCTTCTTTGGCTAAACACCTCATGAAATGAGGTCCAGTCATTTGCTGCCATGTTGTACACTTACCTGGAGACAACAGAAACCCACAAGGCCAAATGCTTAGAGAAAAGCAGAGGAAATGAGGCTGACTCGAGGAAGCATACCCAGTGAGTGTTGTGGCAAAAAGAATCAAGCACTTGCTTGGTGGGCATTTTTCTTTTTTCTGTCCAGATCGCTTTAATGATATGTACCATTCAGCCCCATTTTACAGATGAGCAAGGTGGCTGACAGAAGTGAAACAACTTGCCCAAGCCCACAAAGTTGCTAGGGCAGAACTTGGACTCAGGCCCAGCCCACTGTTTTAGGCCACGGTATGGGAAGTAGGTGGCCAGGCCATCCTGGAGAGATGTCTGGCTTCTCAGGGGCAGGAAGACATACACTTACTTTCTAGACTTGGCACATTCCTTCTTCCAGTTCTTCACTAAGACAGGCACAACCTGCTCTGATGTGTCCTCCTTGTTTAGGGACCAGAGGTCCGTGCTCTCCAGTGGCTGGCGGTAGCCTTGAACCACCAACCTGCGGCCAAGGCAAAAAGGGAAGGAGGGAGGGAGTGAATGTCTGGGAGGAAGAGGAGGATGGCACATTCAATCCCCATGGCAGTCACTCGAGGCAACCAAAGGCAGCTGTACAATTGGGAAGAACTGGATATGGATGGATATTCCAAACTAACTGCCACTGAGCCAATTCTAACTCACAGTGACCCTACAGAGCAGAACAGAACTGCCTTATGGAGTTTCCAAGGCTGTAAGTTTTATGGAAGCAGACTGCCACATCTTTTTCCTGTGGAGTGATTGGTGGGTTCAAACCGTCAACCTTTCATTAGCAGCCAAGCACTGAACCACTATGCCACCAAGGTGCCATGGATAGGCATTTGGCCACAGCATATAACTACTGCTAAATCTGTTAAGTCACCCAGGAAAAATAGGCTTTTATTTTTTTCTTTTTAGAGATGAATAAAGAATATTCAAGAAGGAAAAATCAAGATGGCTACAATTTAAAATATTTTTTTAAAAATAAAGAAAATATGGTAACACGTCAATCGTTAAGCCTCAGTAAGTTTCATCGATTGTTAAAAGCTTTCAAAAGGGCCTGAAAACTTAAATGTGGTATTTAATTTGTTATTCTGAAACAATTTCAAACTTGCAGAAAAACTGCATGAATCAAACAAAGAATTCTTCATTCCCTTTACCTAGTTCATCATTGTTTCTGTCTTGCTACATTTACCGTATCATTCTCTATTACTATGTATCGCTATTCAAACATGCAAACACAGTTTCTTCTGAGCCATTTGGAGTAAGCTAGAAGTTCAAACCCACAAGCCACTCCTTTGGAGGAAGGTTGGGCAATCCCACCTCTGTAGTGATACCGCCTCGGAAACCCAAGGAGGGGTCGCTGTAAGTCGAGGCAGACTCAACAGCACATAACAACAACAACAACAACAGAGACTCTTTACCCTAAATATTAATTAGAACTGTGTTCCCCTAAGAACAAGGGCATGCTCTTACATAACCAGAGTATGATGATTAAAATCAGGAATGTTAGCATCGATGCAGTAGCCTACACTACACTACATTCAAATGACACTAACTGTCTTGACTATGCTCTTTAATAGTACTTTGAAAAATAATTCAAGTGTAAGTTTAAAATTTTTAATTAAGAAAATAGATGTTTGCAAAGAGTTTATAAAGACAAGGAATGACAGTTATTAAGGGAAGAAAAACAAAAACCAAACTCATTGCCAGAGTCAATTGAAGACTTTACAGAGGAGCCCTTGTGGCGCAGTGATTAAGCCCTTGGCTGCCAACAGAAAGGTCAGTAGTTCAAATTCACCAGCCACTCCACGGGAGAAAGATGTGGCAGTCTGCTTCCGTAAAGATTATAGCCTTGGGGCAGTTCTACTCTGCTATACAGGGTTACTACGAGTTGAAGCAACTCACAGAAACGGGTTTGTTTTGGTAATCTTTATGAAAGCACACTGTCGCATCTTTCTCCTGCAGGGCAGCTGGTGGGTTTGAACTGCTAATCTTTTGGTTAGCAGCTTAGAGCTTAACTACTGCACCATCGGGGTACCTTATAAAGGAAAAAAAAAAAAAAAAGATTTGAATAATGTCCAGAAAAAGATGCTGCTAAAAACAATGTGCAGAAAAAGATGCTGCTAAAAAGGAGACGTCAAAA